TGATTTGGGATGCTATATGCTCCAAGTTTCCTTAGAGACAGGAAACAATTAATTAGAGTGCTAGCTAACGTTTATTACACACTCAGAGCTTAATAAGCCAGGTGCTAATTTCTAAGCATTACCTCATTCGCTTAATCCTTGGAGGATTCTTGTAAAGGATTCTCACTTTACAGAAAAACCTCAGCCTTGAAGTTGACATTAATGGGTCTGATAAAGAACTGATTGCTAGGACCTGGGTACGGTGTTTTGTTTTGTTTTGCTTTAAGGCCACACCGGCAGTGCTCAGGGGCTATTCCTGGCTCTGTGGCCCTAGTGGTGCTCATATACAGTGTCAGGATTCAAAGTGAAGTTTGTCAAAGGCAAATTAAACATCGTAGCCTCTCTACTATCTCCTGGGCCTCTCTATGTAAGTTCTTTTTCCCCCATTTATTTTTATTTGGGCCCCTCTCGGAGAGCCCGGAAAGCTACCGAGTATTCCGCCTGCACGGCAAAGCCTGGCAAGCTACCCGTGACATATTCGATATGCCAAAAGTAACAACAAGTCTCACAATGGAGAAATTACTGGTGCCCGCTCGAGAAAATCGATGAACAGGACAGTGCTTTAGTGCTACAGTGCTATATTTTTATTTGGGGATCATACTTGGCGATGCTTGGGGCTTACTCCTGGCTCTGAAGAAGGCCTCACTCCTGTCAGTGCTTGAGGGACTGACTATATAGGGTTGCCAGGGAACAAACCAGGTTCAGTCATGTGTAAGACAAGTGCTTTTAGACACTGTACTATCTCCCCAGTCTCTCTGGGTGAGGGTTTTTGGTTTTAGTTTTTTGTTGTGTTTTGTTTTGGGTCTTTTTTTTTTTAATACAGGAGTATGGCTATTTATTCAGCCATTGATTAAACTGATTGAACTCCACTTTACTTTTTAAAATTTTTTTTAACTGAACATCCGTGAGATAGGCCATTACAAAGCTGTTCATAACTGGGTTTCAGTCACACAATGATCCAGCACCCACCCCTCCACCAGTGTACATTTTCCACCAGCAAGGTCCCCGGTTTCCCTACCACCATCCCCCAACACCCTACCCCCACTCCCAGCCTCCCTCTAAGAGAGGCACTTTCCTTCTTGCTCTCTCTCCTTTTCCTTTTGTCCATTATGGTTTGCAATACAGGTGTTAAGAAGTCATGGTGTTTGTTCGGGGCATTCAGTATTTTTATCGGGGCGGTAAGGCTGGCGTAGCTTTTCAATTGGGTGGCCACTTTGGGGTGTGGATGTGACTGCCAAGGCTTCCGGAAATACAGGGAGGCAGGGAGAGGTAGCCCAACCTGACCCCGAGAAAGCCTGGAGATTTCAGTCACAAAACCCACATACCAGAATTTTCAGCAGATTATATGTCTTGGTGAGATCCATCCTGAGATAGTGGAGTCAGGCCGGGGGTATGGTGGCGATTTTGGATTGTGGGAACAAGAAGCTGCCAGGGGCTCTGCTTGGGTGGGCACAGGCTGACCTGCCCCCCTCCGATTTACCCTCGTCTGTTCAGCCTTGTGCGGGTCTGAGATTAACTGTGGCTTTTGATCTCTTTTGAGATTTATTTATGGGTCTCTGAAGCAAGGCCGGCAGTAGAGCTTACGTGGTGGTTCATGGGGGTGACTGCCAATGCTTCCAGAGTATTGGGAAGTGGAGAGAGGTAACCCATCCCAACTCCAAGAAAGCCTGGAGATTTCAGTCACAAAACCCACTTTCCCAAATTTTCAGCAGATAATATCTTAAGTGAGGTCTGTCCATCCTGAGACAGTGGAGTCAGGCCAGGGTATGGCAGTGATTTTTGGATTGTGGAAGCAAGCGGCTGCCAGGGGCTCTGCTTAAGCAGGCACGGCAGGGGAGGGATGATGTTGTTTTTGACCACACCTCATAGTGCTCAGGGGTTACTCCAGTCTCTATACCCAGGAATTACTCCTGGGGGTGCTTGGGGGACTATATGGAACCCTGGTCAGCTACGTGCAAGACAAGTACAATGCCCACTGAACTATCTCTCCAGTTGTCTAGGAGAGGTTTTAACCCTTTAGGGGTTACTGACAAGTAAGCCTTGATCTTGAATGTGTATGTGAATCACCAGGGAACGCTTGATAAAACGCGGGTCATAACTCAAAAATCAAATGAGGATTCAGAGGAAGCCTCAGAGATAGCAATACTGACTCCACCCTGAGTGAAAGGAATTACAGGTTTCAAAGAGCACAGACCACATTAAAAAATGCCCATCAAAAAAAAAAAAAAAAGGCAGGGGCTCAGGACTCAGAGCAGACCCCTTACTGTGTACACACGACTTGGAGAGCTCGATACCTACCACAGCCCCACCTGTGGCTCTGCCTGTGGTCCCTGGAGCCCAAACCCAGGGCACCAGGGTAAGGCTTCAGCACAGCACAGACTCAAGGGGGACAGGGAGAAGGGAAAGGAAGCAGAAACAAAAAAAAATTAAGTCTAATTTTACTCAAAACTCAAGAATGGTAACTTTTTTTTACTGACTATACTATCCCTCCTACCCATTGATGAGGTGTTTGTTTGTTTGTTTGTTTGTTTCTTAGGGATCACCCAACATCAGTGCCCAGATGTCTTACCAGTAGTGATGGAACCAGGGAACTCAACCTTACAGCGTGCCTAGCCATTTCCCTGAGCCTTCCAAGTTAACATGACACTATGTTACAAGGACTATGTTATTACTTTTTCCTTTCTCCTCACCAGGGATCCCCAGACAGTGTGGCTGCCAGGACCCCAGTGGTGCAGGCAAGTCTGGGCAGCAAGCTATTTAGGCCTCTCAGTCATAATCTAGGTCGCTCTATTAAGTGCCTTAATGGGATTCTGACTTTTGTAACTATTTTGTAAACAGTTTCATAATGACTTTTTGCGTACTTTTTCACTTTAAATTTATGGGCCAGGAGGTCTTTGGATTCAAATGCCAGCACCCACCCGCACCCCCACACCCCAAAAAAGGTTAAATTACATTTAGAATCCAATTTACTGGGGAGTTGTAGGGTTCTTCTCCCTTAAGTACCCTAGTTTCAAAGTAAGGCTAAGAAGGACAAGCAGTTTCAAGCTGCCATACTCTGCCCATGGGACGCCATTCTCAACCCGGCAGCACCTCTTCAATTCAATGCTCAAGATTAGACAAATGGTTAGCGTTAGGGAAGAGTCCCAGGGCTGGGAACCCAAGTTCTTCCAGATGGAAAGTAAAGCTCTACCACAAAAACAAAAAACAAAAAACAGCTCCATCCCACCAAGCCATGGTAAATCCGACTGATTTTCATTGTCTGGCATTAGGTGACTAAGTTCAGCAGTGAAGTGACAATCAAAACCTCAACTACTTATACTACTGAGCTACACTCTTATATTAGATCCTCTGGGTGGTGAATTTTGTTTACTTCCAAAAGTCCAAAGCAAGTAAAGCCAGACCTTAGCAGATGCCTGGACCTGGTCCCACGCTGCTCTTGATTCGTTTCTACTTATCTGGCCACCTCCGACTTTTAATGACAAGCTATACACCTCCACCAGAGCTCCTCTGTGCTCTCTGCTACCAGGGAGGCCTGATGACAGAACCAGTATACCTGAGAACATTCCAGCTTACTAGATAAGATTAATTTAAAATTCCAGAGAGGGCGAACCTGCTCCATTGGTCCTTCCTTCAAAATCAACCACCGGCACTCAGCAGAAGGGCCTCAGATCCAAGAGAGATGAAACCGGCTAAGATTCTGCGAATTTTCAAACACTGGGACCTTTATTTAAAGGGTGACCCCCATACTAAATGATTCCGCAGGAATGTTTATCTATGTTCTCAAGAAAATGGGAGAAGATCAACACTTGGAAGAAACAAAGGGTGCAAATGGCTTCTCTGGCTGACAAGCCAGTGGGTCGCTGGGCTTGCTCAATGGGCTTGCTCGCTTGGGTGGTGCAAGGGACCTGGGCAGGAGGTCGACCTGGGGCCGGGGATTCGGGACTGTGCAGTTTTTTCTGGTCAGAGCAGGTTCTGTCCACCACAGAGCTAAGCCACTGCCTAGAGAGGCCTGTTTGAAAGCCACAAGAGAGTGCCCGGGCCACCCCTGACCTGAACCACCCGGAAGGTTAAAAATATGAATTTTGAGAATGGAGGGGCTGGAGCGATAGCACAGCGGGTAGGGCGTTTGCCTTGCATGCCGCTGACCCAGGTTCAATCCTCAGCGTCCCATATGGTCCCCTGAACACCGCCAGGAGTAATTCCTGAGTGCATGAGCCCCTGTGCATCACCGAGTGTGACCCAAAAAGTCAAAAAAAAAAAAAGAATTTTGAGAATGGAGACAGTAGTTTCTTTTCCCTCCAGAACCGGTGGCCGAGACGGTAAGATTCGACTCTGGGTACCAAGTGGGGCAACGCCAGCCACCATGCTGGGGACTGAGGACCCGGGGATGACAGTGCCCGCTCCTAGGTGAGCGGCCAGGACGCCACCCGGCTCGGCCGCGTAAGCTCTCGGCGCCTCCCGGTCTCCGAGTCTCCATTCAACAAATATTGACCGTGACCGACGTCCACTGCGAGCCTGCGAGGCGCCGCGGGGGAACGCAGCCACCGGCGCCAGGGCGGGAAGCGCGGTCGCTCGGGAGGCTGGAGGTGGTGCGGGGCCCGAAATCCTGCCACCAGTTGCTGTGACCAGCTGTGCCGGGGGGACAGCACGACCCCGCCAGGGCCGAGCGGCGCGGCCTCGCCAAAGCTCCGGCGAGCAACGGGCTCGCGAGGGCGCGGCGGGCGCGGACAGGTAGGCCCGGGGGCAGGTGTTCGGGGAGGAGGCGCTCACCTGGGTGGAGTGGAGAGGCCCGAGGCGGGGGTCCCCGGGGGCGCCGGGAGGGCGGCCCCGGGGACCCCGCGCGGGGCGGGAAGCGGGTGGGCGGCCGGCCGGCCGGGCCTGCGCCCCCCGAGACGGGCGCGCGGAGGGAAGGCGCGCGGCTAGGCCGCCCGCCAGCACCTGGGGCCCCTCCCGGCACCTACCACTTGGGCGACCTTGAGGCAGCCGAGCGTGCCGCGCAGGTAGTCGGGGTCGCAGCGCAGGCCCGCCAGCCCGCGGCGCTGGCTCACCGGCTCGGTGGTGGGCTGGTACGGGCTGCTGGCGCCCGAGATCATGGAGGTGCTCGAGGCCTCGCCCTCGAAGCCGTCCAGCTCCTCGCCGCTCCGCATGCTGCCGCCCGGCCCGGGCCGCCTCGCGCGGCCGCCTCCTGGCGCGCGGAGCTGGCGGCCTCAGCAGGGCCGCCGCCGCGCCATGGCCGCCGCCGCCCGCAGCCCGCGCCGCCGCCGCCCGTGCGCCCGCCGCCGGCAGCAGCCGCGGCTCGGTCCGCTCCGGCTCGGCTCCCGCCGCCTCGGCAGCGGAAAGGGAGGGAGGCGGGAGCCGGCGCGGCGGGCCGGGAGGGGGCGGGGCGAGCGCTCCACGGCTCCGGCGCCTCGGGGGCGGGGTGGGGCGGGGTTAGGGGCGGGGCGGCATCCTGCGGGCCCCGCCCTCACCTGGCGGCGCTCACCACCCAGACCCGGCCTGGGCGCCTGGAGATCGCCCCCGAGGCTGGGCTTGGGGGTCCCCCCCGCGAGTGGATCGGGAGGAATGGGGGCTGAGAAGAGGGTCGAGGCGAAACCTGGGCGGCAAGGAGTTCTCTTCCCAGCTTTCCCAGAGCGCTGCCTCAGTTTCTCCTCTAGGGGAAGTGGGACCTTCAAGAAAAGACCACGACGTGCTGTCGGACCTCAGTGTCCGGATCAGTGCAAGGGGGCCCCAGGTGTGTCTGACTCAGACTGCTTGACTAACTTGCAAGAGGAGGCTAAGGAGACCCCCACCTAGCAAACTAGTCCTGAGGCCAGAGGAAGGGGAGTCTATTCCTTTGGGGTCTGCAGAACAGATCCACAGTATTTGGGGAATTGTTGTTTGATTTGTTTTGGTTTGATTTGGGGGGCTGCACCGGGCAATGCTCCTGGCTCTGCACCCCTGAATCACTCCTGTCCGTGTTCTGGAGACCATAGAGGGAGGGTGTCTGCAATCCACCCCATGTCGGCCGCTTGCAAGTACCCGTTTTACTGTGATTCCAACCCCAGACCCACGGTTTTAGTAACTCCCAGGGAGAATTCCGAATCCACAGCTAGACTGAGAGGCTGCAGCACAGATTGACCCGAATACTAAGAACGTTTCTTTCCTCTCAGCTGAAAAAGTTTTGCTGTCTAAACATCAGTTTGGTTAACCCCAGATTGCGCACTGAAGGGCATTAATTAGGGACCAATTTGCAATTCAAGTATGAAGGCTAATTTTAAGCATAAAGAAAACACCACTTGCTGAAACTTTGGTACTGAATCCTTCACTTTGGTACAGAACATTTTCATGTGCTGAAGGCACCTGGAGAAGGTTTTGTTGTCTCCACTTTAACCTAGGACGGGACTACAGGCTCAGGGGAGCTGGGCCTCCAAAGCCCCACAATTAGTTGGTGGCAAAGCCCAGGTTCCCAGTTCTCACTGCACAATGTTGCCTGATCATTCAAATGCCCGATGAACTCCAGGTGAGAAGCAATAAATATCCGAACCAAGGAGTTCTCATTTCAAAGGATTTTCCCCCCCTCTAGAATTCCAAAGATGGGAAAGACAATGACTCTGATATCATATTCAACCCATAAATATTTGCTGAGCAGCAATGTGCTGGGAACTGGGCACAGACCTCCAGTTAAAGACAAGTTGAATGGTTGGGTGTGGACTCTGGCCTCCACTCTCTCCCTGAAATCCCAAAGAAATGACAGCTTCAGGAATTTATTTTTGAAGGGCATAAAACCACAGGCACAAAGAATGGAAAAGGAGAACAAGGCAACAAAATGTTGCAAGCAGAAAGCAAGTGGGCAAGTGAACACAGACTTGGCAGATTCCATAAAGCTGAACATAAAATTGGCAGTGAGAAGGGCTGAAAAGCAAGCGAAGTCCTATCCCAGAGCAAAAGTCTACACCCAACACAAGAAAATCAAGAGAGGGTGTGAGGGCAGGAGCAATAAGCAAAATCAGCTAATAGTGTTATTTAGTTTGGGGGCAGTACTCCGGGCTTCTGCTGGCTGTGCTCAAGGATCACTTCTGGCAAGGCTTTAAAGAAAGTACAGGAGAGAACATACTGGCCTTGGGCTGGCCGAAGTTGTCTGATTTGAATGTTTTCACTTCACCATGATAAAGGAAATCCTCTTGCTATATGCAAGGACATTGATGGACCTTGAGGGCATGATGCCTATACGATTTCAGAGGAGCTCAGAAAGATTCTGAGCAGGAGCACACACATGGAATACTACAAGGGAAAATAGAGTAAGATTATGGTACTCAAGGATGGGTGTGGGGGAATCACTGTCACTGTCCTCCCGTTGTTCATCAATTTGCTTGAGTGGGTCCAGTAATGTCTCCATTTTTTTTTTGAGACTTGTTACTGTATTTGGCATATTGAATATGTAGCAGGTAGTTTGCCAGGCTCTCCGAAAGGGGCAGAGGAATCGAACCCGGCTCGGCCGGCTGCACGCAAAGCAAACACCCTACCGCTGTGCTATTGCTCCAGCCCATGGAATAGCAATAAACATTTAATAAGTATCTAAGGTAAGAAAAGACAGAAATAAGATTCACGTGGAGTTCATGCCCAATTCAATCAGCCTAATCAGTGGCTGAATAAATAGCAGTACTCCTACATTAAAAAAAAGAAGAAGAAAAAAAAAGAAAGAATAGTGGGGGAATAGGGCAGATATTTTTAGGGGTGGTGGTGCTTAGAGGCTCCTCCCCACACTGTGCTTGGGGATCGTTCCCAGCAGTGCTAGGGACCACATAATACTCATCTGGATGGAACCCAGATTCCCGTGTGTAAAGCATGCAATCAACCCATTGCACCATCTCCCTGGCCCCAGTACAGAGGTTTAAAGTTCAAAGATGTAATGCACAGTATAATGAATATAAGCAACAATGTTACCTTGTAATCATCATATTTGTGGAGACTAGAACTTAATTATTCCCACAGCTGAAAAAAATAGCATAACCTGATAGTGTTGCTAATTTCTGCTACAGTGACAACCGTCATTTATATATTAAAATGCTAGATACCTAAAGTTTGCTTTGTTTTGGGTTTGGGGCCACAGCCAGCTTCTCTCAGTGTTTACTCCTAGTTCTGTGCTCAGGGATCATTCCTGCTGGGCTCTGAAGACCATATGAAGTGCTAGAGATCAAACTTGGGTCGGCAGCATGCAAGGCAAGCATTCTACCCACTATACTATCTTGCTGACTCCTGTACACCTGGAATTTGAAAGATGTTATAATGTCAAATATATATTTCAGTTAAAAAAAAAAAGAATGTGTGGAGCCGGAGAAATCATACAGGGGTTAAGGCACTTGTCCTGCATACGGCCAACCCCTGTTTGATCCCTGGCATCACATATGGTCCCCAGAGCACCACTAGGAGTGATTCTTGAGCACAGATATGTATGTTGTTTAAAAATAGAACGGTAAGTCAAATTATCAGTTTAAAGAGTTAAAAATATATAGCCTCTAGAAAGAAAATGTAATGGGTTTTGGGATTTTTTGTTTGGTTTTTTAACTCACTGATTTTTCTTAATTATGTGCACATAAAACTTTACCAAAGATGAAGGTGATTCAGGGGGTTAGAGGGCTCATTTTGCATGCTGGAGTCCTAAACATGGTACCCTAAACATCGCTGGATGTGGTCCAAAAACAAAAATAGTATTTTGTTGTTCTTCTTTAGGGGAGAGCGTACCCAGTGGTACTTAGAGAGCTATGCATCCTAGGAATTGAACCCAGGCCTCCAGCGTGTTCACTCAGCCAATAGAACTCACTCTCTCTCTCTCTCTCTCTCTCTCTCTCTCTCTCTCTCTCTCTTTGCCCCATCCAAAAAATTATTAATTTTTTTCAATTAAAAATTACTTTTTAGGCCATCCCTAGTGGTTCTCAGGGCTCACTCCTGCGCTCAGAGATCACTCCTGGCAGTTTTGGGGAGTTTTGGAGTGCTAGGGATTAAACCCAGGTTGGCCACTTGCAAAGCAAGCATCATGCCCGCTATACTATCTCTCAGGCCCAAAAAGCTACATTTTAAATGATTTTTTTGTTTGTTTTTAAGAAGTCACACCCAGCAGTGCTCAGATGCTATCTTGGCTCTGTGCTCAGGAGTGCTCCGTAGTGGTGCTCAAAGAACCATACATGTTGCCAGGGATTTGGACCAGGACAGTCAGGATGCAAAGGAAGTAATGCCCCCCCTCCCCCAGCTGTCTCCAGCACTTAAATAATTTCTTAAAAAGTCAGTGGTACACAGGGCAGACACAGTCTCCTGCCAGCATGAACACAGAGAGTAAATATTGAAACCAGTAAATACCACAGAGCACGTACAGGATCTGAAAGTTATTCCCAAGGGCATAGAAATCTCCAGCAAGGATTTTTGGGGGTTGAGGCGAAGGCTGGTACTGGAAAGGAAAAAAATGGCTCAAAAGGTCAATGAACATTCTTTTTTGGGGGGAGGGGGCCCACGCCCAGTGGTACTCAGGGCTTACTCCTGGCTCTGTGCTCAGGGATCATTCCTGGTGTGGCTTGGGGATCATATGGAGTGCAGGGGATTGAACCCAGGTCAGCTGCTTGCTGTATTTTTGTGTATTTTTGGCCCCTGACTTCTTTCTTTGAGAAGAGAGAGAGAGAGAGAGAGAGAGAGAGAGAGAGAGAGAGAGAGAGAGAGAGAGAGAAAGATCACATACACATGTGTTTCTACATGCTCACCTACTTGGGGATTATATGGTTCTGGGAATTGGGTCCCTCTGAGCCATCTCCCTGGTCTTCCAAGTATGTAAACACAAAAAGACCTCAGCAGTCTATCTCTCCTGCCACCCTTGTTCTGTAGTCTCACTCTGCTTCCCCCACCCCGGGGAGGTCGATGGCCATGGGCAGGTGAAGGAAGGAAACGAGGCCCAGGCTGGTTGGTGTTAGTTTCAGTTTATTCCATTCCCATCTCCATTCTCCTCTGATTCTCCTCCTGCTTGTTCCTCCCCCATGCTACTTCATTCTCCTTCTCGATTCCCCTTCATTCTCCTTCTGGCTCTGGAATCTGAATTCCCTTTCTCCTCTTTCTGGAGTCTGGATTCTGATCCCCCAGCCACTCTTCCAGTCTAGTTAAATCCCAAAACCATGAGGGGTTCGGATAACCATAACACACAGATGTAGTCACAATCAATAGGGGTAAAGTTCTTTCCCTCAGGGAAAGCCGCATCTAGGACAGATACTCTCTCAGCAGGACGACCCACCCTAGAACGGA